TTGGAGCTAAAACAAGGCAGAACATCACTTTGACCTCAGCTGGGAATGTGCATGTCAGGAGAGTTAACATTTTTCACATGTCCCCAAATGACATGAAAACACAATTAAATAAATTTTAGCAAGTAGGCAAATTTGGAAATACAGAATCTGTGAATAATGAAGACTGACTGAATATTGAAAGTCTTTAAAATGTTTGTTACTATCTTTGTAGTAATTTTGGTGTTTATTTCTCATTTAACTAAGACAGTATTCAAGGTAAGATTTTGTATCTTTTCAAATGTTTGGCAATTTAAGAAATAGAATTTGGGGGAATAGTCTAAAATTTTGTGGCTTAGGATGTAGTTTAATATCTAACAGATAATTTTGAAAATAGAAAATGTAAATTTTGATTGCCATTGTTTTGTAATCTTTACCAGATTGTCCCAGAAGAGGTTCAAACAATTGGTAGAGAGATTGCTGCAATTTATTTCTTTACGCTTGTTTCCTGCAAAGCCTGAAGAATTTCCACCTCTAACAAAGTGTTCCTGGTGGATTCCATCAGCTGCTAAAGTGTTGGCTTTACTTAGTAGGTTTTTATTATTCTAGCATTTTTTACTTTTCTTTTGTTACATATTAGGGATATTTCTTAAGGATTTCAAAGGACTGTAGAGGCATTCTTAAATTTTAAACCACTTCTTTGAAGGAAAGAGTTGTAATTTATTTTCTACTTTGATAGTAGATTTCGTAATTTGTAAGCATGAAAAAAGCTTTATGCCTTTTAGTGGGCAGTGTTCTGTATTATGGCAATTAAGTGCATATGAGCTAGGACCCCTAGGAGAGAACACACAGAAATAAGAGTAAATGGCCATCTGCATATTCCCTTTAATACTATCATAATCCTCACCACAAGTTTTTTTTTTTTAAGCAAGAAACTATTGGCTGCATTTTAGCCACAATTTTTAAATTACCCTTTTCATTTGGAGCTGCATTTATTTAAAATAGAAGTTTCTAGGTCAAGGCTATCTTGTAGACATTAAAATGATGTTATTATTATTAGAATGAATCTTGTGCATGTTGGAAAAAGTCTTTATGTTAGAATTTATCTTTTCAGATACTGCAAACAATTTAGTTCACCTTCCCCTTATTCCTTATACTGATTTCTATAATTCTACATTGGATCACATTGATCTTATGGAAGAATATCATACTTGGCAAAACTTTGGAAATTCTCACAGGTATGAACAAAAGTTCCTTTGATTATCCACCAAAATTAAATACTATTCAAAAGAATGACTAGATTTTAAGTTTATATAAAGTTTACACATACCTTTATATATAAATGTATAAATATAGTTCAGATAGCCTTGAAATATCATTATATTTATTAAAGTATTTTCTTTTTCTGCTACCTTTTGAATTTATATACATGTTAATGTGGTTTTGGTTTGGTTAATAGCATCTTTTCAAGAAGGGAGAGGTTCTATCTTAGTATGCAGTCTCTTATCTCTTACTATTCTATGCACAGGGGTCAACAAAACTTTTTCTGTAAAGAACTAGATGGTGAATATTTTCAACACTATAAGTTACACAGATTCTATTTTGCTATTTTAGCACAAAAGTAGCCTTAGGATGTAAATGAATAGATATGTCTGTGTCCCAAATGACTTTATTTATGAAACAGGTTGTAGGCCATATTTGTCTCGGGCCCATGGTTTGCAGATGCCTGATCTAATATATTGATCACACACAGACACACACACACATTCATTTCTCCTTTCTTCTGTAAGAAAAAGTGGTTGTCCGTTAGGTGCAATATAAAAAGAGTAGATGTTATAGAGAAAGGGCCTCACCACAGCTTATTTATTATAATAATTAAATAAATTTGTAAAACAGTCACCAAATTATTTAATACACTACACTTTATATCCACACTTCTAGTTTGGATTAAACTAGCAAGATTATTCCAAACATAATTTATCCTTAGGTCATGAGATGTTCAGGAGATTGCATTTAATTGTAGAGGAATCTGAGTAAAGAGATATGGTGTGGATATAAGTAACCTCAAAACCCCAGATTAGTTTGTAAATTGGTTAAACTTTCCAGGGACCCTCTTTATCAGAATTGACCTGAAACATAGAATGGCCTTCTGGACACATCTCAGTTCACATCTGAACACTCAGAACTGAATAAGATAAGAATTTAAGTTCTGGGGACCCTAGTCCCAGATGGATATTTTATTGGCAAAGTTTATTTTACAAAGATACTTTTTCCTTCCATTTTAATATAATTGTAACATGTTGTAGATACAACCACAAAACAATACCAAGAATTATTATGCGTATTTCAGTGACAACATCTTTTAATGTAGACCTTCCTCTAACCACTGTGCCACAACACTGGTGTACCAAGAATGAGTTACATTAGGGTTTTAATCCTAGGATCCCATCAATCCTTGGGTAGCCAGCCTGAACCTAGAGGGGAACAGGAGCCCTGTGGGAAGTGACCTCTGGCCATGAGCAGCCTCATCTGTTCATTTCAGTGTGTCATTCACAAAGTACCATTTCTCTTGTGCATGACAAGGGAAAGGTTGAGAACCCCTGTCCTAAAGTACATAATAAAACTAATATATATCTTACTGAGTTCATTGCATTTTCTTTTTATTTCCAATTTTTTGTTAGCATTGATAATTCAAAATAATTATACACCAGTACTGAAGAACTCTTAACTTTTATTAACAATTTCGTCCCATGGTAAAAGTCATCTCACTTTCAGTTTACACTAAGGCTACATCCATTTTCCTCATAATGCCTTTTTTTCTCAGTGGTCACAGTTGTACCGCCTGACTTTGTTCAGGTGGATTCCAGCTATAACTGATGGATTCATTGTTGTCACTTTGAATGGCAGAATAACTCCTGAAGTGTCATCGCTGCCATACTCATTCTTTCTAAATGCATTTATCTCTGTGTAGTTTGTGGCTTTTGTGCGTAGCATAGAATGTTCTAGCCCAGGAGGGGTTATTTTCATAACCTTTGATTATAATGTGTAATTACAAATACATACCATTTCCTGTTACCACACCACTAAATATAATGCTCAATGCAACATACATTTCTGATTTCTTTTTATTGATCTTAAATATATTACTTTACTTTTTACATATTGTAGTTATTGTTAGATGTTTTCATTTCTGGAACTCACACATCAGAACTCTCCATATAATGATGGATTCTTATATTAATATTGAGCACCTGGGTTTTCTGTCCTACTTCACCAGCACTTCTCCCTCCTGGTTCTAGTGTTGGTCATGTTGTTCACAGGTGATGATATACAATGAAATTATTTGTATAGACAATGTAAGTGGTTAGCACACATTTGAGAACCTTTGATGTAGCTTCTGCAGAGAATAAAGGCATTGCACATCTAGCAATGATACATTCTTCACATGGCTGTGAGAATTAAAAGAAATGATACACATACAATCATTTTGTATATGGTAAAACACAATCCAAAAGTAATGTTTTATGTTGCTACAAGGGGTACCTTAGATTCCCTTAGTATAATTTTGCTAAAAATACACCATTTTGCTTTTTCTTTTTTTCACTTGTTGAGCAGGTTTTCCTTCTGTCAGTACCCATTCGTTATTTCTATAGCTGCAAAAAAAATCATTATTCAAAGAGACTCAGAGCAACAGATGATAAACATCGCAAGGGTAAGTCAGCTATAAAAACATATTTATGCTGACTATAATCAATATAGTAAATAATTTAATAAATAATTTAAATGTCTTGTGAATTGTTCTAGCATAATCAGGAATGTTAAAAGCAAAATTCGTGTTATACTCACCCAAAAAGTGCTTAAAAACCATTTACAATTTGGGAGACAAGATAACTCTCATCTCTTCTGATCAGCTTCTCATTGTATTATAAATATAGTAGGAAGAGTAAATGCTTCTCACAGATTCAAATTACTGAGAGCTTGTTGGACCTCATTTTGCAGATACCATACCACCAACCTTAGATAACCAGCAGAGCATTGAGAACTGTGATGAGGCAGAGTGTCATTAGGCAAACCACTCAAACTACTGAAACATTTTCTAGGTTTTTTGAAAATCAGAAACAACCAAAAAATTAGAAAATGTAACAAAAAGTATGTCTTGGAGAACTGAGAAATATGCCCAAAGAAGGTGAAAGATGTTTTATTGGTTCTTAGGAAACCAAAATACATGGAGACCCAAAGAGGCTGGGGATAGCAATCAGACTGAGTTTAAGCAAATTGTAGAGCAGTATGAAGTTATCTCTCAGTCTGTCCTTACCACTCCCTATCCCTTGTGTTTCATCTCAGCACAGTAATGTACTTTATCTAATAAATATCAGATTCAGTGAGGTTTTCTTGCTAGAGCTGTAAACTGTATGTTTAAGTGCTTATGTATTTCAAACATCTGCTTGTGTTACATAATTGCTCACAATTTTAAAAGAGCGATGCTTGGCTGTGGTCTTCTTAATTGAAAAAGAAATATAGGGTAAAAAGAAATGATTTCCATCTTGTTCAAGAGTATATAAAAAGAATCCTAAAGCATAAATTGTAATACTTCAAAATGCTGTAAAAAATAAGAATGTTTATTCTTCAGTAATTCAGTTCCCAGAAGGTGAGTATTTCTTTCTATCACAGAGAAGGACAAAAGATTTGAGTAACTGGTGACATCCCAAAGTCATCTTATACTGAATATGGGAATATTAGAAGAAATTTTATTGCCTATGCCCATCAAGGGAATTCCAAAGCCACACTACCCCCCTGAAGAATGAGTTTAAACAGGTATATTCAGCACCAGAATTCTTACTTGATCTTGGGTAGATATTGGCTCAATTATTAGCTATATAGCTACTCATTCTGACATTTTCTGTTAGTTGTACTCGTACAATGTCATGTGCCTTTTTAATATTTTTTCACCTTGGTCTATAATTTTTTTATATTTGTAAGAAAAAATCTACAGTGCTTTTATACATAACAGAATGAGCTAGTTTGGATTAAACTAGCAAGACTAAACAGTTTTTTCTGTGTCACTCACAGGATATCAAATACCTTTTTGTGGAATTTTTCTTCTACTTTAAAGAAGGAGAATGGCAGGTGTAGACTGTGACAGGCTAAGTTTTCTACAGAGCATGCAAAAGAATGAGTAGACGCTTGACATTGAGAGCTGAGTGGCATTATCAGTTTTCTATGGGTGTTTCCCAACATTTTAACATGTAAATTGCCATATCACTTGGAATTAATGACTGGTGACTATTTTGACACAAGGACAATCTTACAAAGTGTAAGATTGAGCTTATATGGTACAATCTAAATATACAAAAGTGGTTTCCTAACCTAAAATAAGTTCCTCAGTCACACTGTCAAGAATTGTATCATTGTTGGGTTATTTTTTCATTTGGAGCATTTTCTAGTAAATATGAATTCCTGATGAGAGGAGTAGCTACTAACTTTGTTTGCTGTTAGCATCCTAGCATAAATGTGTTTATTATTTATAATAAATAAATAATGTGACAGCTGCCCAGGAGCTAGACTAGGAACAGAAGATAGGAAAAGGTAGGAAAAAACGGTCTATAACACAGGACACTATCCTAGGAATGCAGACTTCTTTGATAAGTGGGGACACAGAGAAATAAAAGGCTGTTAATAGCATTTAGCATTGTATATGGGAGAAATGGAGAAGGCTCCAAATTAGTGTTTTATTATAGTAATATTCAACATCATAAGTAGCCTTAAATTGTAGATTTGTGATACTAAAATTTTATCTATCAAAACAAATTGCTGCATGTATTTAAAATGTCTGAAATGTTTATCTTTAATCTGCACAATAGTTTTCGTTATTACCAAAAAAGATACAGTCTAATAAAGACTATTTAGATAAATATATAAGCATGTGAATTGTATATGATAAATGACATATATTTCTTATAGATATTTTTAAATATATTGTTTTTCACCTATTACATGCTTATATTTTGAAAAACGGTGACAAAAGAATTTTGAGTCACTCATATCCCTATCACCCAAGCAAAGCCATTAACATTTTAGTAAATTTTCTTTTGATATTTGTTCTGTATTATCTTTAAAAGACAACAGAGTTGAAATAGTATTGTAAACACAATTTTATTTCCTACTTTCTTCAGGTGTACCTTCCTTGTACTATTTACGTAGTTTTTATGACCATCAGTTTTTTCATTAGTTGGATATGTATTTAAGATATTTCTAAAGTTTTGTTTTTATAGATAGTGCTGTGATGAACATGGAACTGTATAAAATATGTTCCAAGTTAGAATTCTCAGTGGAAGAATTATTGGGATAAAGCATATGAATATTGTTATGATCTTTGATACATGTTGACAAGTCACTTTTGTAAAGTAGACTAATTGTACCTTTAGAGAAAATTCAATATCTAAAAAACCCTAAGTCCAGGTTTATCATCAGAAATATATACCTTGTTTTGAATGTTCCATTTTATATTTGTATTTATTAAACAGAAAACTTTGCTATTTAAGAGATGGGACATATGGAAACTGTGATGCAACATTTTTTATTATAGAAGGTGAATTATTTTTGGTCCTCCACTTTGGATCCCCTTTGGTTATCGTTGTTACAATATGAAATAATAATAAGCCATTTTCACAAATAAAAATGTGTATAATTGATTTTTATAAAATTGTTTATATAAGAAATGGCATAGATAATAATTGTTATTTTTACTAAAATCTTTAAATGTTTTAAACTTAATTATAATCTAAGTAAAAGCAAAAATGTTTACTTTCTTATTTAATTAGCAAAGTCTGGTGGATAAAGTATCTCGAAGACAGAGACCCGATATGAATATGTTATTTCTAAATATGAAAGTAAGACGGACACATCTGGTTAGCGATTCACTTGATGAGGTATAATTTATTCCAAAATGATATTAATTAAAGCTTAAAATTCTATAATATGATTTATTATAAAAATCTTAGTAAACTTTTTTATTTCTGTATTCCAATAAGTGTGCTTTCTTAAATTCTTTTGAAGATCTTGTTGCATACCAAGCTTCCTTAAATTTTGACACCATAGTTAAAATCAGATCTGTATTCATAATTGTCTTATATTCATGTTTGTATGTTTATTAATAGTTTGTTAATTCCCTAGAAAAGGATTTGATGTAGAACACTTAAATGAGTAATTCATGTTTCTTCGTATATAACCTAGATTCCAGACCCACCTTTGTTACTGGTTATGTGTGTAACAAGTCATTTAACTTCTCCAGGTCTCAGACTACACATCTATAAAATTAGAAGTCTGACCTACAGGGTATATTGGGCCTATACAGGCTCTAACATACTTTGATTGCATTTTCATGTATTATCATAAAAAATGCTTCAGCTCGATCTTAATATGGTTATTAGAAGATAATGACTGATTCAGCTATGTTATTTATTTATTTATTTACTTATTTATTTTTGCAACACATTTTATTTTGTCACCCAGGCTGGAGTGTGGTACAATCAAAGCTCACTGCCACCTCAAACTCCTGGTCTCAGGGTCTCAAGCCATCCTCCTACCTCGGCCTTCCAAGTAGTTGGGATTACCAGCTCAAGCTACCACACCCAGCCCTAGCCATGTGATTTTTTAAAGTTTAGCATTGAAGGGAGTTTTTTTTAAAAAGAAATGAATTATCTTATAGTGTGCTAAATTAAAAATTTGAAGGCAGTAGATACCAGGAGGCAGTACTTTGGGCAAAGTACCTGACTTCTCTAATTCTGTTTCCTGATCTATAAAACATAGTAAACACCTAGCTCACACAGTGTCTGGCAGATTTAATGGATAAATGGATGGATGGAGATTTGTAGCATTGCAAATAAGTTAACGACTGCCTAACACATTTCCCGGAATTAAAAATGTTAATTCTCTTTTCACTGCTCTTTGTTCTCCTCTACTGTATAATATCTTCAAATAGCTAACCCGGAAAAGAGCAGACTTGAAAAAGAAGTTAAAAGTTACATTTGTAGGGGAAGCTGGTTTGGATATGGGTGGTTTGACTAAAGAATGGTTCCTTCTTCTAATTCGCCAAATTTTTCATCCAGATTATGGTAAGTAATCTAATTTTCATAAACCATGTTTCTTCATAATTGTTAGAGTCAAGTAGTCAACCTTATTTTTAAACTATTCTATGATTTTACAGACTTTGTCAATCATAAATGTTGAATAATTAAGGACTGTTATTTACATTTTAAAAACTTGTTTGACTGAATTGATGATCAGTTGATTCTCTTACTGGGAACCCTACACAAAATGTATCAAGATTAAAAGTAAACATTTATGAGGAGACATCCATATCTTTTCTGAATAAGTCAAATGCATGAAATTTTAATTTGTCATTGAAATAAAAAACATTTGAAATTAAAACACAAAACTATAGTTTGCTGTATAGTAACATTCAAAGCCTCTTTAATTAATGGGTCATTTTAATAAAAATTCATGAATTAATTTTTTAAGAAAAAATAAGCCTTTGAAATTTTTTATTTTACAGAAACTACCTGTATAATCCTTACTATCTGTTAAACTTTTCAAAGGAGAGTTTTCAGTGTTTTCCTTATTCTTTAGTTTTCTTTTCTATATGTGTATGTGATGGGAAATAGGGATGACAGTGATAAATTGAAGTCTCCAGATATCCTCAAAGTTAATTTTGATCATAATTTATAATCTATGAAACTATACTTTTTATAAAGTTATCTGATTAATTTAGTTTGTATCTTTTTACCCTGTTTCTACCATTGGTTCAGGAAAATAAAATGTTCTCCGTATATATTTAATATATATATTTATATTTGCTGAGATTTGCAAATATATAGTCCCATAAATAATCTGAAATTTTTAACTTGAAAGATGATTTGTAACAGAATTATTGTTGAATTGGTTAGCTTCTAATAGATGAGATGTCATGTACATGTTTACCAGTTTGATTTTTTTAAGTCAATCATGTTAATAATAAAATTATTTGTGTGTTTTTTTAGGCATGTTTACATATCACAAGGATTCACACTGCCATTGGTTTAGCAGCTTTAAATGTGATAACTATTCTGAATTCCGATTGGTTGGAATTGTATCCTTTAAACTTTCCACTAGGAGGTGCTAATAGATTAGAGATTTTTAAAGATTTTATCTGTATTTTAGAAAACTGTTTTCTTTAGCCATTTTATCAAATTAAATATTATTGTCAAATGTACTGTTAGATTTTCAGTAATCTTCATTATATGTAATATATGTCAGTAGACTTAATTGAAAGAAATGAGTTTGATATTTTTCTGAAAACCTTATCTCAAAATAAAAATGGTTCTTTCCTATTTCACATATAATTGAAGTTATCACTAATTTAAGGCTTTTTTAAGAAAAAAATCAAAGTATTTCCCATTTATAATGAAGTATTTTTTTCTGTTCTTTCACTTTGTGCTCATTTCCCTCAGTTTACTGAATTGAAATTGGGGGAATTAGATCTAACTCTTTAATATGTCTCCAAATCCTGAAACATAAAGGGAGCATCCATAAAAATTGAATGGAATGGGAATATTTAAAGCATATAGTATTATTTTGTAGTATTTTTAAAGTTTTATAAGTCCATTTGGAATCCTATGATTCCTATCAGGTATATTGTAGTATATTGTAGTATATTGTAGAGGGCATTTCTGCATTGGGTAGGAGATTGGACAAGATGCCTTCTACATTAGCTTTTTAGATTCCAAGAAATATAATTGTTTGTGGAGGAAAGGAGGGAAGAGTAAATAAATAAGCAAGCACTGGAGATAAGAAGGTTTACAAGCGGGGGGAAATTCTTCATCTGTTCTCAGAGTCAAATGACCATATGGCAGTAAGTACTAAGGAGTTCTGAGAAGGAAAATATACAATGTATTTCTCCCAGAGAGGATAGAGATTTAAAAATGGAACAGTTACATTTGATTAACATATGGCTGGTGAGAGTGTTGGGACATTATAAGCTGAGAGTGTGGTGAGAATAAAAAAGGCTAAATTGTGCTGGGCTTGGTAGAGAGCAGCTGCAAGCACACTGAAAGTTATGGAAAATACCATCAGAAAATGAATGAAGAGCCATCTTTGAACGTCTGTCTTTGTTACATCTGTTGGAATAAATTATGAGGCATATATATGGAAATTGAGAGACGAGATTAATTAAAGAAAGGGTAGTAGGGAATAAACTGCACATTGAGATAGTAAACTCAACTTGAAAAATTGTATATATTGTTATGTCTGAAGGTCCAAAGTGCTAAATTCCATAGAGAATAACACTTAACAGTTCTGAGACTCCTGTTTATATTCTAGTATCTGCAGTAATCATTTGTTGAATGTTTCATCTTCATTGAAGGGCCTAATCATTGATGCTTGTCACTATACTATGAGCTATTTAAATTTTCATACATAAATGTTTGTCATGCTTTATATTCATATATCACAATTTAGATTTGGATGATATTTTGACTCTAATATTTACAATAAAGTATTATAGCTTAGTTATATTTTTAAGTGATACTATACATAAAATCATAAAATTGCTCATTTTTTTGCAATAGATACTAGTTTCTATTTAGTCATTACCCAAAAGAGCATATTAAGCATGTTTAGCTATTCTATATTTCAAGCTAAACAATTGAATCTAAAAATTATAATTGCTACTCTCATTATTATGTATGTTTATCACACACAGATATAAAACCTATAGAAAGCGAAATTGATGCTGTAAAAAGTGTAATACTATATAGGAGAAATGTGAGATGAGAGTGGATTGTGGTCAGATAAGGGGTTGGGAACTGAAATTTGAGATATAACAAGTATGAACATTGAGAAAATATAGTTGATTTCATATATGTCTCCAGTTTTAAAATTTCAGGACCAAAGATGTATTGTTCTAGTAGTTCTGACAGTATTGTGTTTCTAATACAATTATTTTGAAGTATAAGGCCTTATTATCAGCCTTCATTACACTTTAGCAAATTGAAATTTTGGTGGTCTTCCAATTTTTAAAAGTTATTTTCAGTAATTTACCCAGCTTATATGTTTAGATTTCCTTATGAGCCTATAAAATGAATTACTTCCTTAATAACTTTATATAATTGACTGTTGAAATATTATGAAATTTGATCTAAAACCTCTCTTTCCATAAATGGATAAGTTACATTCCACCATATAAGTAGTAAATAATCCTGAGCAAAATTTATAACATCTGTAGCTTTTTAACTTTGACACTGAGAAACTCCAAGTAACATAAGTCTTTCAAGTTTTACTGTTGGAAATTACCTATCCTATTAGCTTATCAGTAGCATATTTATATCCATATGTTTATTCAGTTTAGCTCTTTTCTTCACACATAGTCTGTTTTTAATTTTAAAATAACTAAAATGGCTATCTCCAAAACCAGTATTCTACAGTGAGTTCTACTGAATAAACTGTTGCTGCAGCTTATAAAATTGCCAACATCTTTGTTTAAATTTAGAAAATGTTTTCTGTTAAATAATTACAGGCATGTCTTAAGTTGCTGTCTGTTGTGATCTTAGATAAACTTTTCTAGGGAAATCATTGAATACTGTCAACTAAACCACTCCTTTTTACATGACTTTTTGTAATCAAGGAATTATATTGTGTAAAATAAAGGGGAAATAAATGAAAGAGGGGAAAGGAAATATGTGATACTAATTAGAAAGTCAGTGCTAAATCTGAAAGAAGTATGCAAAAAATAGACTGATGCATAATTCAGAACTCATTTGTTGTCATGGATTTTATGTTAATGCTTAACATTTAGTATGCATAGCTTATGGGACTAGCTGTTTATAACAGCATCACCTTGGATATTCGTTTCCCTCCCTGCTGTTACAAGAAATTATTGAGCCCTCCCATCATTCCTAGTGATCAAAATATACCAGTAGGCATCTGCAGTGTTACCGTTGACGACTTATGTCAAATTATGCCTGTAAGTATAAAGTTATTAATATCTTGTCCTTTAATGCTAAATCATCTTTTTTCCACCTGCACAGTCTCTCTCCTCCTAATGCTATTCTTACTTTTAAATATGGTTTCCTTCAACCTTTATAACTCATGTCCTTTTTTCAACTAGCTTTTTCTTTCCTTAGAGAGACATGTCACCCACTTTGCAGTGCTCCTAAGCTTTTACAACAGTAATTCAAATCCAGGCTCTGCCACTTACTAGCAGTTATTTAACCTTTCAGTTTAGTTTCTTTATGTGAACAATGGGATCGTTTTTATTAATAATTTTTAAATGATGACAATTATATCAAATCTATGCCAGCCTAGATTTATATGAAAATTTGTGGTTTTAAAGGAGTAGAAAATGTATTATGTAAAATACAGAAAATCATTCTAATCATGCTGTTATTTACCTTTTTCTAATAATTTAAAATAAAACTTTAATTTTTTCATAAAAATTAAATTGAAAATTTTGAAATATTGGGTCAGTTTTTCTATTTTTAAATATTTATGGATAACTTCAGTTACAATATAATGTAAGAAAATCTTTCTTTTTTTTTTGAGACAGAGTCTCACTCTGTCACCCAGGCTGGAGTGCAGTGGCTCCACCTTGGCTCACTGCAACCTCTGCCTCCTGGGTTCAAGCGATTCCCATGCCTCAGCCTCCAGAGTATCTGGGATTTTAGGCATGCGCCACCATGCCCGGCTAATTTTTTTTTCTTTCTTAGAGACGGGGTTTCTCCATGTTGGCCAGACTGGTCTTGAACTCATGGCCTCCAGTGATCCGCCTACCTCAGCCTCCCAAAGTGCTGGGATTACAGGCATGAGCCACTGCACCCAGCCAGAAAATGTTTCTTTTTTTTTTTGCCCCCAAGACAGAGTCTTGCTCTGTTGTCCAGGCTGGAGTGCAGTGGAATGATCTCAGCTCACTGCAACCTCCGCCTCCCAGGTCCAAGCAATTCTCCTGCCTCAGTCTCCCAAGTAGCTGGGATTACAGGTGCGTGCCACCATGCCCTTTTTTTTTTTGTCTTTTTAGTAGAGACAGGGTTTCACCATGTTGGCCAGGCTGGTCTTGAACTTCTGACCTTGTCATCTGCCCACATCGGCATCCCAAAGTGCCGGAATTACAGGCATAAGCCACTGTGCCCGGCCAACCAGAAAATGTTTCGTTCAGTGTACTTAACTTTTTCTTGGGAGGGGAGGGCACTGTACATGCATGAACTGTATATTCATGCATGCACATGAATGAATTGTATATTCATGCATGCACATGAATGAATTGTATGTTTTATGTTTAAAATATGAATCCTAAAACAGCAGATTTTCATAGGAATATAAATTGAAAGTGAGAAATACTACAAATTCATAAACAGTAATGTAGCAGATAGCAGTGAATTATGACGGACACTACATTAGAGGTATGCTTAGCTTGCTGCTTAAGAATAGACCCCAGAGTTATGCCCCTGTAGTTTGAACTGGATATTTTCCCCATCTGTGACCCATAATGATAAGCTTCTGGATGGTAGAAATCATTAAGCATTTTGTGCCCTGGAAAATACATGTCAAATATGATCTTTATATACATATGCATGAGCTATAGGAAAGCCACTTAATTATCCTAGCTAATGCTATTTGATTGAAAAAGTTATTAACAGATTTCTTTTTATAGGAGTTGGCCCATGGATTAAGTGAACTCTTATCACACGAAGGCAATGTTGAAGAAGATTTCTATTCAACATTTCAGGTACTATTAAGGGCAAATAGTTATCTGTTAATCATATATTTCATATATGAACAGCACAATTTGTTATTAAATACCCACTGTTAGAAAAGATGAACAAGGATTAACCAATACATACAATCCTCTATCTTAAAGGACCTTAACCTGATAAAGTAGACATGTGTAGATGAGCAGTCAATGAAAATGCTTAATTCACTAAGGGTTCAGGATACTCTCTAGGCAATTACATATCCCCTTGAGTTGGTTACTTTCTCAGAGCTTTTTAGTTTCTAAAAATAAGCCTATCCTGTAACTTCAACATAGAAGTTAGGAGTAGAAACTAATGAGTCAGACCAAAACTCTCTCATTTCCACTCCTTTTACAATATTTGGGAAATGGAAATTACAGTGATCTGCAGAGCTCCAGGGACCCGCATATTATCTAGATGGCCACACAGTTTTGTGGACTTCATTAAAGTATTTAACTGTATTAGGCAGGGTTAAGTTAAGGCACTATTTTTTTAACCCCATAATTATTTTATGATCCCTCGTTCTTAATACAAATATTACAAGAGCTTAGCCTTTTATAGTTTATGTGTTTAGAAGGAAGGGGGAAAAACTGTTCTTTTTAAATTTTACAAACCTGTTCACCAAAGTATGTTATTATATCATCCATATTAATATGTGTGATGACATCTCCCATCAGGTTTTTCAAGAAGAATTTGGAATAATCAAGTCCTATAATTTAAAGCCCGGTGGTGATAAAATTTCAGTTACCAATCAAAATAGGAAAGGTAAGTTAATACCATTTTTAATTAAAATGAATTAGTATTTGCCATTTACTTTTACGATTTAAGAGATGTAAAATTGCTTTTCAGAATATGTACAGCTTTATACTGACTTCCTTCTGAACAAATCCATCTATAAGCAGTTTGCTGCATTTTATTATGGATTTCATAGTGTGTGTGCTTCAAATGCCCTAATGGTGAGTTTACAACTTTAAATCAAGCTTTCAGTTAGGTTTGGTAATACTATCGTGTTAACAAATAAATATTTTAGTAGATAAGCTTTTACAGTAGAAAACATTTTCTACTTTTTAAAAGTAGAACTAAAAACAAAAATAATTCTCTCATTTCAGCCTTCATTCTTTAGAGGGGAAAAACACCCCAGTCAGTTCATTTTCTTTCCCCTTCTACTAAGTCTTTTAGAACTTTACAAACTTTCTCCAAGTAGAGTGGATGAAGGGATCCATGGACTCAGGATCTTAATACTGAAGGACAAAGTACACAATGCAGTTAACGTGTAGCTCCAGGGCAAAAGCTACAACTTCGTAATGATTAAGGAACATATGTATAGCTGCTTCCTGCTACCTCAGGGCTCCCTGAGCAACTCTGGTTGCCTTTTACCCTTAGCAAGTAGTTTACCTCCAGAGTTATGTTGGACTCAGTTTGGTCTGACTTGTCTTAGCCATGTGAATGTGGGTCAGCTACTATTTAGAATACCATGTCAGAAGTATCATAGGATACCTTTCAGTCACCCCAGCTACCCAGCACACACTTCAACATGCCATTTGTATCTCCCTTAGTTTTCTTATGAGGGATTGGAGTAAGGTCTTTCATTTGAATTATTTTTCATGGGGGAGAGAAACAGACTATAGAAGTTGTTTTGGGGCAAAAGCAAGTGGCTTACATTATTGCCAGGTTGTTTTAGAGAAACCTTTGTAATATGTTTGTTGTCAAAAATACCTTTGAAAGAGAAACACTTTATTGAGCTCTAGTTAAGTTTTGTTTATGACACTCTGGTAATTGTGGGAGTGGACAGGGGGAAAATAAGAATTAATTAGCATAGCATGGTCTCTATTTTTAGAGCTTTAATCTCTATAGGTGGTAGACTAACCCACCTGAAAGTTGAAAAAAACAAGAGACACAAGACAGACTATAACCAAGTACGCAAACTCTACAGTGCACACAGGAGGTGTTATGGGATATTGGAAGGAGATATTAGGATATGGGATATTAGGCGGATCAGTAGATGTTGGAGCTTCATGCTGGGTTTTGGAGAAGAGTAATAGATATGGGATATTAGGCGGATCAGTAGATGTTGAAGCTTCATGCTGGGTTGGAGAAGAGTAATTTGGATTTGTGCAAAGTCATTTGCTTGTTTTTCTGGCAAACTGCTAATTACTATTTTACAATATCTATAAACTTCAGAAGCAAAAAATATCTTGCCTTGGTAGGAAAAATATACCCAGAGAAGATTTTTCTTCAACAAAAATGGTTTGATTTACTATGAGAAATCATGACTTTTGTGATTTGACCCAGTGAAAATAATTAAATTTTTAAATAATTAAATAATTAAATAATTTTTAAATAATTAAATAATTAAATTTCATTTAAAACCATCACTCTTTAATTATTGTTTTTGATAAATAATTATTGGCAGCTGCTTCGCCCAGAAGAGGTTGAAATTTTGGTCTGTGGAAGTCCTGACCTGGATATGCATGCTCTGCAGAGAAGTACTCAGTATGATGGCTATGCAAAAACGGACTTAACTATAAAGTGAGCTCTTTATACTTCTGATAGTGGGGATGTGGAGAGGGAACAGCAGACAGTGTGATTCATTTATTTGCATAACTTAAAATCTGTGAATCAATTAAGTTAGTCCAAATATTAGAGAGCCCACAGTCTTATTTTACCTCTGGAAAGTCTATGAGAATTTTAATATAAAATCACTCCCTTTGGTAGAAAATTCTATAAACAAGTTTCTACAAAAGTGTAGAGATTTTACTTTTAAAAAAATGACTTTGCGCCTAGAATTTCATGGATGCTGTCCTTATAAATAACAGTTTAATAGCACTATGTTGAAAAATAAGATTTGAAAGTTATACAGGAGAAAAATGGTTCCTGTACTATCCACTGCTGAACTTACATACTTTTATAAAAATATTATTTTATAATGTTAGTCAAAAGTCTAATACATATATAGAAGCTCACCATTCCTTAATTTTACAGAAATTCAGGATATTATATATTCTTAAGGAAAGCCCTTTCCTCAGAGCTTCCTTTATATTACTTTATTGTAGGATTTTTGTCAAGACATTTGATGTTAATTTCCTTTGGTATTCTCTAGATACTTTTGGGATGTCGTGCTTGGATTTCCTCTTGATCTTCAAAAGAAGTTGCTACATTTTACTACAGGGAGTGACAGAGTACCTGTAGGAGGAATGGCTGATTTGAACTTTAAAATCTCAAAGAATGAAACTTCTACTAATTGGTAAATTTCTGGATCTAATTTTATTTTAAATCTAAAGGTTACTGCTAATACTGCTAATAATAATACATTTGGGATCAGGAGATTTACTCCGTTTGAAGTTATTTTCATAGAAAAATCTTCATGGCCTTGAACTGTAAGAGATTTTGATTAAAAGTTCTCTTACTAGTTTTTGAGACATACTAAGTAATAATTCATTTCTAACAACTTTTTACTTTTCTAGGTGATATAAGTGCTTTGTAGTCTCTTTTAGAACCTAGTTACTTTATAGTAGTATATTGTCTAATGTTCATTTTTATTTAAATGTGAAATGTGTTTTTTATTTTTAGGAAAATCACTAAGTTGGGATATCTAGTTTGCGTAGTTTTCTTTCTTTTCTAGGGGGTTGGAGGATACTATAAGTAGTACCAGAAGTACCTCTAATACTAATCCTCTTCTTTTTTTTAATCTCATGCTTTTTGTATATGAAGTGATGGTGATGATGGATTTAAATTATTTTTTAGCAGAGTTAATGCATTAATGCTTATCAACTTACTCCTGTTTCCAAATAACTTATAATTTGTAAAGCTAACTTGAATAGACATACTTTGGTTATAATCATTTTTTTCTCTTGCCCCATACATTGAACATTCCCTGAGTGCTCTTAGTTCTTCCTTTCATTTTAAAGCTGGAATCTGTTCTTTGCCTTTCCACTGCCCCCACCCTGGTAAAGTTACTTTTTATCTCATTACTACCTTATTTTATCCTATTAAACTCATGTGCTTTAACACTATTTAGATCATGATATTTCCCTGGGAAATAACTTTGTTGCCCATTTAAGTTCTAGAATCTAGAGACTGTAAAATAAAGCTCTAGTCTTCTACCCAGGCTACCTACCAGTTTTCATTTCTTCCCATGCTTTAGTCAACAGCCTGTTCTGCTGATTCGTTAGATACGTTTTATGCCTTTCTCCATGCTTTCAAGTTGTTCCCTTTACATGTGACATGCGCCAGCTTCAACTATTAAAGACACAGTTTAATGTTGACTTCCTCTGTAAAGCCAAAAGTAATTATGATTCAGTGAGTTTTTCAAATATCTTGTAGAAGTTATGTGCTAGTTATCATATTGCACTTCATATCTGAGTCATTTCGTCCTTCAAGGCAGAGGTTATGCCTTATACATATTTGTTTTTTGTTTGTTTGTTTCTTTGTTTTATTTATTATTATTATACTTTAAGTTCTAGGGTACATGTGCATAACGTGCAGGTTTGTTACATATGTATACTTGTGCCCTGTTGGTGTGCTGCACCCATCAACTCGTCAGCACCCATCAACTCGTCATTTACATCAGGTATAACTCCCAATGCAATCCTTCCCCCCTCCTGCCTCCCCGCAGCTGGAAACCCATCATTCTCAGCCAAACCTATTGCAAAGAACAGAAAACCAAACCACCACATGTTCTCACTCTAGGTGGGAATGAACAATGAATCCACTTGGGACTCGGAAGGAACTCACCACACCGGTCCCTATCAT